CATAGTTTAACTCAAAAGACCCTAACCCGATGTTACATATCAGAGCAAGACCCTCTAAGTTAACCAAAAAGGCTAACAACTCAAAACTTCAAAAAAATAACTCGACGGCGTCCACAGCTAAACCTAGTCATCTGCATGTTACCCACGTGGAGGTAACATTCAAACAGGCAGGGTGAGTAAAATGGTTCATAATAATCAATGTATGAAAATCAACCTATAAATGGCGTCATAATCATATTCAACACATTCACATTCATCAATAGACCTCGAAGGCCACAACATCATAAATTATTCCAAATGACTCATAAATGCAAATGCAACAAGACTTAATGCATGTGGTACCAATCATCACAGCGCGATGGACACTGGGTCATCAACCCTCTATAGATCCCCATCAATAGGATCGATTCTACTAGAGAACTTGAGCACATCAAAATACTTCACATCCACACAATGGGATTGAAATCAAAGTAATTGAGGTCCTAAACCAAATTCCAAATGCACATGAATGCATGATACACACATCACAAATCATCCTCATAATAACATCATAGGTGCATCATCATTCATCATATTCATCATCATCAAACGTCATAACTCATCATCATAATCATCATCATACATCATGTCATCATAGCTCATCATAACAATTATCATCATACATCATGTCATCATAGCTCATCATAATAATCATCATCATACATCATGTCATCATAGCTCATCATAATAGCCATCATCATACATCATGTCATCATAGCTCATCATAATAATCATCATGTCATGATAGCTCATCATAATAATCATCATCATACATAATGTCATCATAGAATCATCAAAAACTCATGGAAGTATCATCATATCTCATCATTATTACTTATAGGAATCATCATTATACAATCATGTATTAATCTCATCGGAATCATAGTTATACTCATGGTAATTCATCATACAATCACGTATTTAATCTCATAAAAATATTAGACAATCAATTATCTTATTTATACTATGTTATAGCCATGTTCATTAGCTTTTCAACGCTTCGAACGAGGGTCAAAACGGACTTACGGATCAAAAGTTACGTCCAAAACAATTTCAACCGAAAACATGGACAGTCGTGACAGACAGCATGCAATTTTCTGCGTTTTTCACCGTTGGAGGCCTTCCGGACCTCCGATTTCGATTCCGTAAAAACTCAAACTCTCATAAAATTACAACTCATTCAACATTATAATTATCTCAAGTAAGATTACAATTTTAACACAATTAAACCATCTAATCATTGTTTTAAGATTATGCCTAAAACCTTTAAAATTAAGGGATATAAGCTCAATCCCGTATCATATTTACGCCCTAAATCACAAATTTCCCTATAATTATCCCAAAGGTATCAGAGCTATTCACTGTCTAATATTCCTATCCCTTCAGGGTCAGACAGGTTCAAATCATAGTTTTGGCCACGAAGGCCTAAGGTTTCCTTTTTCCCCAATGAACCACGGTTAGATTCACTAATAATAGATTTAGGCCACGAAAGCCAAAGATCACTATTTCTCATATCTACCCTCAAACTCTCAGGAATACTTACCACTACACCACAATCATCAAATTCTCACTATCAAATTTCCCTACAGGGTTAGACCAATGTCAAATCAGAGTTTTGGCCACGAAGGCCTAGTTTCCCTTTTACTCCAATGAATTCCCATGGTTAACATCTCAATACTAGATTTAGGCCACAAAGGCCAAAATTCCTTTTTCTCACAATCAAACCCAAAAATCTCTTAAACCCCTTAAATCGACCTTAAATACGTTGAATTTACACATTGAAAATCATGAAGGCAATACTCCTCATACCTTAATTGTCGATCAAAGTCTTCTCAAATATTTCCGGGAATCCTCCGAAGCTTTTGCCTCCAATCTTCCTTGTCAGAGTTCTGGCCTCAATTCTCCTCACGGTCTAACAAATGAATCCTAATTCCATCCATCACAATTTCCTTTTTGTTAAACCTAGACTTGGACCTCATAATTGGTCTTTTCCCATATTATCCTCACTAACTCCTCTTAATTGTCCAATTTGTCTTTATTTCACTTATATTTATTTTAATTAATAATAATATTAATATATTCATATTATCTATAACATATATAAAGGCAATACTTGGTTTTTTGTGTAACTTTTTTTTATACCAAATTTACCCTTATTTTAAAATATATAACTTACACAATAACTTCCATTGAACTACTACTATCATCTTTCATATAACTCCCTACTAATAACTTCTCACATACCTTCCATGTAAAATTAATATTAAATAAAAATATATCATTTATATTTATATGTGTGCAATAAAAAAGCGGACAGACGGACACGCGAGTGCCCGTCTGGGCGCTAGTATATTATTATTCAAAATAAATAACCCAAATTCCATTAATTTCTAATATTCCACAAAACCACCGAAAATCGCCAAACGCGAATATTCTCATTTAAATAAATTAAATTAAATATTCTTATAATATTTGGAGTGTTACAACTCTCCCCCACTTAAAAGAATTTTCGCCCTCGAAAATTACCTCAAGGAAATAGAGTCGGGTACGACTCCCTCAACTGATCTCCACGCTCCCAAATCCAACTTTCTCCAGTTAGTCCTCCCCACAGAGTTACTAATGCTTTTTTTTTATGATTTCTTGCTCATAATGTACTAACTTTGCACTTACAAAAAGCAAAATATAAAGAGAATAATGAAACTATTAAACTAAAGAAAATGCTCAGAAAAGGGAAAGAAAATACTTATCCCTCGCCAAAAACTGTGTTACAAAAGGCAAAAAGAATTCACCGAACATGTCTAAATCTTTCATACACAATACTCAAGAATTTAGGTTCTAAAGAACCATCATGATGATACCTACGAAAAGACGTTTGATGCTTAGTTTCTTAAAAAGTGAAGCAATCTTCACTCCTTCGCCTCATATAATAGGGGTATGGTCACCATCTGGTCATCATCTGGAGTCATAATAACAAGCCTCCGCCTACTCATGTTTCTCTTGCTTCAGCAAGGGCTTGGGGGGCATAGGCATGCCAACATAACCCGTACCCGCGGGTACCCACCCAAAACCATTCCGAAGTTGACGGGGGAAACCACTTTGACTAGGTTTGAATTTGAGTTTGGATTTTTCTCGATTGTAAAAATGTGGTCAATGTTTTAATAATTTGATTTTGTATTTATTATTTAAAATATTTGAAATGTATATATGGAGTATTTTTAGATTGTTTTTTTTATTATTTGTAATGTAATTTGATTTTGAAAATTTTAATATTTCTATTAAAAAAGTTGATTTCACAAAATGGATGGTGGCGAGACGGGGATACCCGAACCCGTTTAGGATGGGTTTGAGTTTTAATTATACATCTCTGTTGGGGTTTGGGTGGAGAGCGGAGTTTATTTAGGGATTCATGTTTGGGTTTGGGGGGAGGTAAAAATCGTCTCTGACCCGCCCCGTTGTCATGCCTAGGAGAAAACTATTCTGGACCAACCAGAAAGACCTCAGGCGAACTAATCTTATCACGTCATCTCAACCTGCTTTCTAATAAAGGTCATGTTCCATCACCAATCTTCTAAAAGAATAAACTAGAATGAATACATATCCCCACCTCGCATTTGTCTATTTCAATTACGCAAATCTTCCACTTCAATTTAGGGTCTCTGAGGACATATTTCTCGTCGATCTGAAATTCAAATTCAATACTCCCTTATGATATCAAGCTCGACTACCGTTCACCCTCGATTGACAATGAAAGGAATATATTGTTCAACCTGCTTGAATGGAAGACGAATGATGATTTAAAGGTTAAGTGGAGTACCTTTTATCGTTAATTAACAAAAGGTCCGATTGAAATGGATGTGACGATTACAAGATCAACTGAACATATTTTAAGGATGTTGGAACGTACTGAATCATCCGTCTATAATGACATTTATTAAATTTATATTAACATTAATAATTATCTATGTAATGTTTATTTTAATGTTAATTTATGTTATTTTTTCATTCTACCATTATTTCTTGATTTAAACTAACAGAATATATTTCAGATATGCATCTTCGAAAAACTCATCGAATATTTAACTAAGAGCCGTTCTAGAGTTACGTTTTCATATTAACCTTTTAAACACACATAAATGCGTCTTCAAACTAAACTTTAATACAAAAAAAGTTTTTTAACAATTTCATCCAAGGGATGTGAAAAAAGGTGCATCCATCTCCGGACGCTGTAGACAGTTTTGAAAGGGGAGCAAGCATAAGGATAGAAAAGGTACTGTAAGCCGATGCGGTGGCTCACTATAAAAAAATACTCTACTTGTTTTTTCTTCATAGAACATCACACAAAATTTTCACTTTAATAATCTATTTTCCTCCTTAAATCTCAAAATATCTCACTTTTCTCTTGTTTACTAAAATTCCACTTTCAATAAATAAACCCATCAATCCAACTGATACCTAACAAAACAAATATCAACCACAAAAACAAGGCTAGGACAGAGCAACCTAAACTGTAGACATCAGAGTGGCAGAGTTGAGGATGGTCCAAGTCAAAGCTGGTGCCTATTGCAGCTTGGACTTACAAGAAAAGTGAGGTGAGTTTAGCCGGATAACATATACACAAACATAAATCAACCTTAGGAATGACAACATCATCATAACTAAAAACCTAATGACATGAATATGATCATAGAACAGATAAATGAATATGCTAAACCAAAAAATTATTAAGTACTACCTTGCTGGTAATTAAAAATTTTCATTTATCATCGTCTGCTGGGAATAGCATGTAAACAACCAGAAAGTTTGCACCAAATGTCTCAAGAATATTCACAAATGATAATTAATTTCCCTTGCAATGGTTGAGTTCCATTGACAACAATAACAAAAGCAATCATTCAAAATATCTTTGGTTTACATAAAGCATGAGTGCGCGGTTGCATTAAACAGTTGAGAGGATGATTTGGTCATCCCATGGCATACTTCTGTGTCCAGCTGCGTGCAGTGGCTTCGTACTTGGTCCTGTCTGTCTTGTACATATGTGCGATCTCAGGCACCAAAGGGTCGTCGGGATTGGGATCCGTCAGCAACGAACAAATCGACAAGAGCACCTAAAATAGTGAATGTTAGGTTTATTTTCTGGAGATTTAGAGCAGGTTTAACACATTCAATTATTAGCAGTAAATTTCTATGAATCATATAATCAGCTTATATGGAGATGACAAAAACTATACCTCTAGTCAACAGATAAAAAAATAGATATTCATATCCAGTCACTTCTGCACTAGAAATATTACTGACCTAACGTTTCTCTTAATAAACCAAAAAGATTTACAGTTCTTTAGTGCTTCAAAAATATGGACAGTAAGCATATCTTGAATCATTTTTGTAGTGCTAGATATTCAAATTTCCCAACAAAAAAAATACTAATAAACCCAGCACAAGTAGTGCATGAAACATATAAAATACGTCAATGAGATTACTGCAGTAAGTAACAAAAGAAATGATAAGAGTACAAAAAGACATGGATAGCCAAATTTTACGTGTGAAAATAAGCATCACTCTTTGATTAAAGTTTATGCTTCAATTGAGTTTCCAAACAATTAGCAAAGTCTGGTTCTAAATTTCACTAGGCAAACACATTTCAGAGCCAGAATTTGTATGTCAAAAATTGGCTAATGCAAACAATTAGCAAAGTCTGGTTCTAAATTTCACTAGGCAAACGCATTTCAGAGCCAGAATTTGTATTTGTCAAAAATTGGCTAATGCAAGTAAATTAGCTCAAAACATGACAACACATTTGTCCAATATTTTTCACAAGATGTTTGCAAATCATTCTAAAAGGCAACACAACACAATCCAGGTGTCACACTTAGCTCAAACTTTATACATAATCATAAATTACCAAGAACAACAAGTAAAATCAAACCTTGGAAATGGTCAATGCTGGGCTCCATTGTTCCTTCAGAATGTCGAGACAGATACTTCCATTGCTGTTGATGTTCGGGTGGAATACCTTAGTCCTAAATGCAACCTGCAGTATTAAAATAACTTTATCATTTCCAGACTAGTAAACTAGAAACACAGTACGAAATATTAACAAAATTGACTAACAGGCAATAAAACAACATTTGTAACTTGTGAACAAATTAAACTGGATGATTATTATACTGTTAATGTTGAGTAAAGAAGAAAATGATAGAGAACAATAAGATTTGAGAGGAAAGACGAAAATGAAAGGCAAAATATAATTGAAATCAAAATTCATCTAACAGCTACTCTGAGATCATGATATACTAGTGACAAATGATTAGATTTATAACCAACCAGAACCAATAACCATATGATATTTTCTACCCACTAATAAAGCAAAAGCTGGTAAATATCCAGCTGCTATGGCCAAAGAAACAAAGCCACAGCGGAAAAAAAAAGATTAACATCACAAAAAGAGATTTTAAAAATGATTAACATCATAAAAAGATATTATACATACATACAAGCAACATAGTTTTGGGTAGTTTTGGTTACCTTTGGTGGCTTGAATGGATAATCTGGAGGAAAGTGAATTGAAACCAAAAACACACCACCTGAATAGGGGCTATCAGCAGGTCCCATGATTGTTGCTTGCCAATGAAACATATCCTCAGCAACAGGACCTGAAAATCACAACAAAACACAAAGTTATTAAGAGTAAATCATCAACAAAAATACAGAGTTATTAAACCATAATATTTTTAACAATAATTTGAAACCCTATAAAATCTTCTAAATCCTAATCATCGCAAAAACTCGTAGCATAACAGATCCTTAAGATTTAAGAATCAATAACAGAAACACAACAACAGAGGGGGTAAAAGAAAACTAGGGTTTCACCTGCGCTGCATGAGGTAGGAGGATCCTTCTGCAAATCCTTGAGTTCCTTGAGGATGCGTTTGGATGCCATGCTCAAAACCAAGGATTCGGAAGAAGACGAGAATTTAGGGAGAAGGTCGAAATTGAAAAGGGTTTGATGGAAGAAGAATTGGATTTGATTTGAGTCAGGGGAAAGGGATAATAAGGTGAGAAAGAGAGAGAAAAAGGGACAGACAGGGTTGCGTTGTTTTTCTGCTTCTAGAATGTTCTGTATCCACTTTCCTATTTGCGTGTGTTTGGGGCCGCGTTTTTTGACTCAAAAACGCGCTTTTAGAATCGCCAAAACGCGAATAAGTTCTTGCGTTGCCAAACACGCTCTTGATTGCTTTTGCGTTAGATCACCGTCCTAAGTTAAGCCAAGCTGGACGGGTGGCAATACACGGCATCTTGATAATTTATTATTGATTTTAGTATTATTACATAGAAATAATGCACGGTGTAAAAAAAAATTTACATTATCAATCAATCACGATCATAAATTTCGTCAAATCAGACTGTAATTTTTAAAAAATTTATATGATATGACAAAACGATATATTTTTATTGGATAGTACATCTACTTTAACCTCTATTACAAAATGAGTTGTTCAAGTAAATTTTTTCTTACGTGTTTTTGACATCAAATTAATGCCTTAATTTAAGTATTTGGCTAGACATTGAGCAATTTGTCCATAAGACATAAAACAGGATGGATATGTTAGTAGGTTGGGTAGGACGAATCGACCGAGCTTTGGTATGAGTCAATCTTCGATTAAAATATGGTTGAAATATGTATTTATGATTAATTATGGATACCAGATATAAGTATTACCTCCATTAAAGTTTGATTCCTGATTAAAATTGAGAGGTGATAATTAGTAGAATTAATCGCAATAAATGTTCTCAATCGAGCCTTCTTGAGATATGAGACTAAATTGTTAAATACTATAAGGAGCATAAGAGGAAGATTCACTCACAACTTCATTAAGAGAATCATTTGAGACTCCTACTGATCTAAAACCAATAGAGCTATTAATTAGTGTACACAACGTGTACATTTGCCGTCCACCGTAGGGTCTGGTAAAAGTGACTCGGACCACACATTCTCATTTCAACAACAATTCGACCTCGTTTCATGATGACAAGGATTGTCACCAATAGTAACAACCACAACCACAACAATGATTGGGTTGTCATAGTAGAAATGATGATTGTTATGGAGGAACGATGTTACCAGAATGAGACACTACATGATAACATGCGAGATTTGTAGCAATAGTAACAGATGCAACATACAATCGACATTCAAGAGGATCTAATGGATCACAAACCCTTGTTGATGGAGATATAAAATGCACAAGTCCGAAACAACTTCAAATCGCTTTCCATGGCGATGTTCGACAACAATAATGATCACAATAACACATTATTGCTATTAACATGCATATGACTATCATTTGAGCTAACTATTACCTCAAGTACAAACTAATGACAGGAACGTTGAAAGAGGCAACCCTATACTGATACATAAACCTCCATATGTTCCCTATCATCAACTACTAGGATATGAAGAGGACAATGATACACTAGTTTTCAACCAGAAGTCTTAGAAAAACTTCCGTTATGGACCTCTTTAATGTCCACCGTGGCTATTATGAGTCATTTCACGAGTATTTGACCAATTTTAATGAAGAAACCATCAAAGTCGTCCATCCTAACTAGGGGATATTCATAGAGGATTTCTATAAGGACCTTAAGGCGGGACACTTTAATGAGTATTTGGCATAAAAGTTGGTGTCCCCAATAGAAGAGATCATGGTCAGGGCAGAATGCTACATAAAATAGGAGAATAGTAATGGTGATAAGAGAACCAGAGATGCAAATGAGCGAGGAGTTAGAAAATAAAAGGTAGGAAAATAGATAAGGCGCCATAAAATAGTATTGGTTTGTGATATGTTGACCTTCAAGCCTGCTCGTAAGCCTTTAGAGCACTTCACCCCATTGAACACAGGACGAGTGTGGATTCTACAAGATGTCTATCATGCAAAGATCATTTCTGAGCCATATCCACCCTAAGGATACTCTATGGAAAATGACTTAAAGAAGGTGTAAGTACCAAGAAATATGGGGTCACCACAGAGACGATTGTCATCATTTGAAACATGAGATTGAAAGATTTATCCAAAATAGGTCACCTAAAAAATTATGTGCAAGGACGTGCCTAATGTAACACCTTTCTCCTCGACTCGACAATTAAATAAATAAATCACAATTATTCATCAAGCAGGATGTTACTCATAACCATGAACCAATTTGAGCCATATAATAATGAGAAATAACTCATTTGATAAGCAACAGAATTACAACAAAAAAAAACATTTGGCATAAAAGCCTCATCGGCATTATTAGTTTGAAAAATGGTTCATCGCAAAATAAAACCAAACATAAAGATACACAACATAAACAAATATAGGACGACCTGATCCCCTCGTGTTATGTATCAAAGCGACTCCAACTATAAATCCGAACGATATGCAACTAAAGAGGCCCAATACCGTTCTTAATCTCAAGCTTCGGGTACCTAATTATATGTAGTCTAGAGAAGCACAGACGCAATAACACTAAAAAAGGGTGAGAATACTTTCAAGTAATAAATGGTGCATAAACATTCAGGATAGATTCACACATCTATAAAATTATTCACATAATCGAAAAACATACCAACATCGTGTATTCACATCTCACCGACATGATAGTCAACCACACACAATTATGGAATATAGTGTAACAATGACTCGACTCATGCTTGTCACGGTCCCCACTCTGAACCAGACTCACAACTCAACTCTACATGCATGCGGTACCGACTTAATGTTTGGTTCTTCATACGAACTGGGTCCCAAGCTCTACGAACCTCGAGCCCTTACTCTGAGCTTCAAGTCCCAACTCAAGACTTGGGACAAGCCACTAGTCCTCACTCTGAACTATAAAATATGCCTCTTTCACAAAAATGACACATACGATGTATGACATGTGAAAACGCAGTATAGCCCCACTCTAACTATACATAATCATTCAACAACAACAGATTCAATACAACCTCGCTCTGACTGTAAACAAATATATTTTCAATATATCAATACTAATTCACATCACAATTACACACCTCAACAACTCATTGTCGTACCCCAAATTTTGTTTACGCTTCATATGCTTTCTAGTGCCATTTTATTTTGAATAAATAAAATGGCATAAATGGTGGAATAGCTTGTCTAAGGGGTTATAAGAGGGGAAAGTTAGGGGTTCGAATCCCATCTTTCTCACTTTTAGTGTTTTTTTCTATTTTCTTTGTTTTTCTTTACTTCTAGATTTTTGCATTAATTTCAAATCACAAAAAATATATTTTTTTTATCATTTTATTATTATTTTTCCTATTTTTTATTAATGTCTTTTTTAAAATATTATTATTTTTCATTAAAATCATGATTTTGACCTAATTTTTTTATCTATAAATAATACACATATTCACACTTTTCATTTATCCACAATCTACAAATTCTCTACCTTAAAGTTATTGTTCTTCACATCTAAGAACAACAACACTAAAACTCTAAGCTTCAGACATTCCAGCACTTCAAGTTTTAGTAAGCATCAAGGCGGAAAGCGGTAGAAAGCGGAAAGAAGGAGAAAAAAGCAAAGAGAAAAGGTAAATGTGCTTAAATCAGATAAATTATCCTCTCTGTAGGTTGGACTTCCAGTTATTTATCTCATTTTTGTTATTATTGAATCTTGTTCTATTATTGATACTTGGGTTTATTGTGTGCTCTGGTTTATTGCTTGATTTTATTTTCTAATCAATCCAAATTAAAAAGATCATAACAAAAATTTTTTACTAAAAAAAAGGTCATAAAAGTAAAAAAAAATTGTCAAGATTGTATTTCAAGTTATAAACAACTCTATCAATTAAATTATATGAAACAGATTTTTCAAAACAAAAAATGTAAATCAATTCTTATTAATAATAAATCAACTTTTATTACCTGATTTAATTTTTTTAAAACCCAATAACATATAATAACAAAAAAAAAGTATGTGTTAAAACAAAACAAAATTCAGATTTAAATCACTTTGAAAAAAATCCAAATCAAATTCAAATTAAACTTTCTAGGAAAATATGGAATTAAAACATAACTAAAATCAATTTTAAATTAATAACGAATTTTTGTTTTAAATGAATCCATAAACACTGCAGATTAAATAAAAAAATATAATCAAGTTAACAAATCAAAACAAGGCCTTGTTTGGAACCAAGATAGTTCCACTTTGAAATCCAAAACAAATTTGTTTAAACTCAGTATCCAATGTCCACAAACCTTCAAACTGAATCAGAAAAAATAACACACAATAGCTAAGACATGGTGAAATTGCTTCAGAAATCAAAACAGAAACATGGAAGAAACGAAATCGCAATTAAATCAAAGCTGAACCAAAAATCCCAAATCATAACAACCTTTAACATTCATTAACATTTATCATAGGGGTGTTCATTGTTCTGGGCTGAAGGTGTAAAAGACACAAGAAAGGGGGGTTGAATTGGGTTTTAAAAAACAAAAGTTTTGTAACCAACTCAAAAACTCAACACAATCAAAAGATTGAAAAGAGAAAGACGCAAGGAATTTTATACTGGTTTGCTTAAAAATCAAAGCTAATCCAGTCCACCCACCAAAGTGACTTTGCCTTATGCGCAAGGACTTCATCCACTATAATCAACTAATTACAAATTATCATACCCTAATTTTTACCCAAAAGATTGCAATCACAAACATGGATCCTCTTAGTGAAGGTGAGATAATACTTAGAAGGGGGGTTGAATAAGTATGATAAATTAAGACTTGAAAATAATCACACAATAATTTTTATCCTGGTTCGTTTAAACAACTATTCCAGTCCACCCTTCCTAAAGTGATTTGCCTTTCTCAACAAGGACTTAATCCACTATTAAATCAAACTGATTACAATAGTAACACCTAAGAACAACAATTCTTAGTCTTC